ATTTACGGAATAGCCAGGTTTCATTCGCCCGGGACCCTGGACAGTTGCTACCTTTGCCCCTCCTGTCGGCGGGCCTTGTTAATTTAACCGAAAAAATTATCTTCAATCAGGTCAGACTCAGGGGTTTAATGGTAATTTGAAACAGCATCAGACCATCACGTAGCTGTTCGAAAAACATGAGATAATTTTGACTTTCATGATAATCCTTCAAGCGTGTTTCTTTTGTTATTTAATAACACTCGACCCTCCCTTTTGCCCCAACTAACTCTTTGTCCCCCTCCCTATAAAAAATCTTAGAAACGTCAGTGTGATTGGTACATTGAACATTAAACATTGACTCAGTCACACACAGAGTTTCAGTTTCAGTTCCACTCTCAATGAATCTCAGCCTCACTTTCTGTTCCGCTGGGCCTTTTAAATATACCAAGAAACGACTTTTATGTGGTTATATGCCGGTGCACGTGAGTAAACTGGCTATATATATCATGTTGGGAGCTAAAAATCAGTTCTCCTTAGGTCAAAAGTTGTCTCTAGGAGTTCCCCAGCAGTTCTCCTTGGGGTGAAAAGAGTTCTCCAGGACCAAAGAATGGATATATATATGTGCAGAGACTGAGTGACCTTTATTCACACACAAAACAGGTGTTATGTTTTATTAAACTGTTTCAAAAATATTTCTCCCGATGTGTACGTCATAATAAATATTATTGAAAAACTTAATAGCCTGCAAATATTAAAATTTATGAAATTTTGCCACATGCTTAAATAATGCCCCTTTCAAATATATGAAATATGGACGGCCACTTAGATCAAATACGATACACATCTAACCAACATGTTAGGCTGTCATCTCAATTCTAGGGATCTGCCAAAGACTGCTTTCAATTATAATTCACAAAATAGGGTTGGTGTTTGGGTGGGGCATATTGGACGAAAATCTGGACAATGAAAATGGCAAGGGTAAGCGAAACAGAATCTGGATTAATTCCACATTTAGCCATCTTTTCATGAAAATGTATCTTGATATTGTTTCAGACTATCCTGATCCGTCAGATTCACACAGAAATGAAGCATAGTTGGAACAAGCAGCCGCAAGGTCCTCAAAGACCATCCCTGGTACTGCAGATCTTTCTCAAAGTCCGAAATCGCATGGTCGACGCTTTAATCCAGACTGGTGTGTGAAGCATGAATGGATCGAATCTTCGGTATGTGAGGACAAAATTTATTTCTTTGTTTTTAGACACTTTTTTACAACACAAGCAAGTGAAGAGAGTGCTTTCGTATCAGACAGCTATAACAGCTGGAAAAAGTGTACAGGCGATTCACATAAGAATAACCGACTACTTAAACATACGAAATCAGAACAACACGTTGATTGTACAGCCAGATATCCTACATACAAAGAAGCAAAACAGCGAAAAGTGCAGTAGCACATCTAATTAATGAACAACATAAAGAGACTGTGAGAAAGAATCGTGAATGCATCAAACTATTACTCATACCCTCAGACTAACAGCGGTCCAAAATATTGCACGAAGGGGACATAGAGAGAAAAATGATGAGGATAATAAAGGCAATATCCTAGAAATATTGAATCTGTTGCAGAAATATTAGGTTATTAGGTATTTTTTTCGAAGAAGAAATCCATGGAGAATTTATTGGTTTCAGAGCAGCAGAGGATCTGGCAGCAAAAAGTTTATGTACATACATCTAGGAGGAGTTGAAATCAAGTGGAATTGATATACGAAATTTGATAGCTCGGGGGTATGACGGTGCCAGTGTAATGAGTGACAAGTGTAGGTTCTATAATATACATTGCCTTACTCATAAGCTGAACTTGGTCATTGTGGATGCAGTCAAATCAGTCATTCCGGTAGCTGATTTTTTCTCAACATTGCAAATGAGCTATGTCTTTCTCAATGGTTCAAATGTACATGCCAGGTGGATCAAATACCAGAAAGACATGTATCCACCTGATAAATTTGTTGAGCTTAAAAGTTACTCTGAAACTCGCTGGGCTAGCCAAGTGAGAGCGATTGAAGCAATGGAAAGCGATTTGACTGCTTTGTATCATTTTTGAATGATGTAGATCTCAAAGATGATAACCGAGAGAGAGAGAGCTCTAAATACTCGCAGTATCTTATCACAGTTAGATCAGAAGCTCATCTACTGCATGCTGATGCTCTCCGACATCTTGCGTGAAGCAAAATGTTCTATAGATTTGCTTCAAGATGCTGCAGTGGAATATTCAACGGATGTAGAAATGATCGAGACATTAATGGAAGAAATACAGTCATACAGAAATGATCGAGACATTAATGGAAGAAATACAGTCATACAGAAATGATCGAGACATTAATGGAAGAAATACAGGCATACAGAAATGGTGCAAAAGCTGGCGACTATCATACGTCACCACAGAATATTGCCAAAAGAAATCACCATACTCAGAGCCAGAAAATATTTCTAGCCATAGACCACAGAAGAGCATATCAAGCCACATGAAAGATTTTGTAATACTGTCTTCTCTTTGAAAGCGTAATACAGTTCAACATTAGTCTGACTTTAAGACTAATATTGTTGCCAACAATTGACAGGTTTCTAAGTGAGCTTCAAAGGCGTTTCTGCAGCCACAAACTAGACATATTTCGTTCACTCTCAGCATTGGATCCACTGTCAAAGCATTTTCTTAATGGTGAGTTACTTAAACCACTGGCAGAACATTATAAACTGAACTTGGAAGATTTGTTTATGGAGGTGAAGCAAGGAATAACACAAGATTTGACTCAATTATTGAACTTGCTGAATATTTGAAACCGCTGTACATGACTTTCACAGAGTTGTTCCAGGGTCTGCAGATTGCCCTAACCCTTCTTGCGACCACTGCTTGGTGTGAAAGGACTTTCAGCAAACTGAAGCTTATAAAAAGCCCACTTCGCACAACAATGGAATATCGTGGTCTTAAAAAGTCTTGCAATCTTGAATGTTCACAGACAAAGGGTATTAGACATCGATCTTGATGATGCTGTAGATAGAACTGTGGCCAAATTTCCAAACATGCGAATTAAATTGGTATTAAAACGAACAAACTGCATGAGGATCATCCATCCTCACTTGTAGTTTCTAGCTTTCCAAGCAGGAAAATTTAAGTTTCATTAGAAAAAATTGTGACAGATATATTATTAAACTTCTCGAATAATTTGTTTCATGATACTTATATTTTCAGATAAATCATAGTGTGTGGTATACAGTTGTTTTGTCCTGATGATAAAAATATTGCTAGATTTTCCAATTCGTATCTTTCACTTTGCATGTATTAATGCATATAATTTAATATTATATGAGCGTGTAATTATTAGTATGTCTTTGCACT